TCCCCCCCCCTCCTCAAAAATGCCATCTCCCTGCCCATCCTGGGGGGCCCACAGGCCTTGACGTTGCCCCCAGCACAAGCCCCCCCACCCAAACCCCCACGGTTGCACCTGGATGACAGAGCCCCACCAAGCCAGGAGGAGGAAGAGGAGGAGGATCCATGCACCTCCCGTTTGGCCACCAATGGCTTCACTGAGGAGAAGAGCAGCCCTGAGCCCTTCCTCTCCCACGCCGGGTCCCTCCTCTCCCTCCACGTGGATTTGGGGCCCTCCATCCTGGAGGATGTTCTGCAGGTGATGGAGAAACACCACGAGGAGCGAGTGGGTGGATCCATCCAGGAGATCTTGACGTGAGGAAAACTCCAGGTAAAGATGTTGGGAGGTGGATGGTGATTCAAATTTCTTTTTTTGGAGGGGGGGAGGGGTTGGTTTTGGGGTTTTGCCCTGAAATTACAGCTCAGACTCACAACTTGATCTCATAAATATCTCCAGGGGGTGTCAGGAGGGGGGGACCAGGCTCTTCCCAGTGGTGTCCAGTGACAGGACAAGAGGCAATGGGACAAACTGGAGGAAAAGAGGTTCCACCTCAACATGAGGAGGGACATCTTAACCTTGAAGGTGACAGAGCCCTCGGACAGGCTGCCCAGAATGGTGGTGGAGTCTCTTTCTTTGGAGACATCCCAACCCATCTGGATCCTGTGGGATCTGCTCCAGGTTCTCCTGCTCTCCAGGGGATTGGGTTAATGATCTCCAGAGGTCCCTTCAACCCCCTGAGGACTTCATGACTCCCAAGTTTTGACTCCACGCACCCCCCCTGAACACCCATGTGTCCTTTCCTCCTGCAGAGCCCATCGTGCCAACGGGACCTGAGGGTTTCTCCTCCCTGCAGAACCTCCAGCAGTTCCCTCAGCACGAGGAGACACCAACCAACCCACCCACCCCACGACGAAGCAGCGACGTTTGTTGGGCTGGACGGGGCCAAAGAACGACGATGGTTGAGGCCCCAAAATCTTCCAGTTTGGGAGGGGTTTTTTTTGTTTGCTTGAGAAGCAAAAGTTGTTGCCCAACCCCCCGATGTCGAGTGTCATCCTCAGACTTGGGTGAATCCCCTAAAAGTGCCACAAATGGGGAAATTCAGCAGTTTTGTGGCAAAAAATAAAAGCTCCATCAGGCGTTGCCGTCACGCCGGCTGGAAGGAGGAGCCAAAAGTTCTTGGCAGAGAAGTTAAAAAACCCCTATTTTGGCACCAAAATCCATGGCTGGAGCTTGAGATGGGGCTGAAAAGTCAACAATAAGGCTAAAAAATCACCAATAAGACTGAAAAACAGCAAAAAGAAAAGTGAAGTGAAGGAGGAATGACCCCTCTGGGCCGGGGGGTGAGGCTTGTTCTCCCCCCAGATTGTTTGGAGGGCTGAGGGGGGAAGGGTTTGAGCACCAGGAGGGAACGTGGATCCTGCTGCTTTTTTTCTCCAAAAAAAAGTGTTTTCATTAAAATAAAAATGACTGGAAAGGCCAATTCTGCTGAGGTCGGGGGGTGAAGGACCTCAAGGCTTTCACCTCTCCCCTGCTGGTGGAATGGAGGACAAGAGGAGCCTGTCACGGCTGAAGAACAAGTGGGAGCTCATTTCCTAGAGGCCACTGTTAATTAACTCATTAATTACTAACTATTTCTGGTAGTTTTAGCCCAGAATGAAGCTGGGGGTGTCCCCTCTGGATGGAGTGAAGGCACCTCTTGAGGAGCACCCTGACTTCTTGCTGCTTGCTGGACCTCAGCCAGTTTATTCCTTTCCATCATTAATTGCTGGTTCCTACAGGTTTTACTTAACGAGTCATTAGACTAATGAGCTCGGAGCTCGTCACCACACAACTGTGTCCTGCCTCTTGCTCCCAGTTGAAGACCCAACCACTCTTGTTTTGGATGGAAACACCAAAGATTTGGGGCTAAACCACTTTTCCGACCTTTCGGTTTGCAAAATAATTAAGAAAATGAGGTTAATTGGGCTCGAGGGTTTAATTTCTGATTGATTTTCAGCTCTTCTGGCTCAGTCCTGACCTGGTCTAAACCAAAACTTCTTCCCCATCCCTGGGGTGAGACCTTATTTTGATCTATTTTAGGGTTTTCCTCACCAGAAAAGAATCCTAGCAAGAGGTTGGGGTGAGGGGGGATGTTAGTGCTTCATTTGTAATTAATTTCCAAGGACATTAATTGATTATTCCATTAATTTCCAATGATGTTAATTTATAATTACATTAATTTCCAATGACATTCATTCCCAACGACATTAATTTCCAAAAACATGAGAAGATTTGGGTGGGAATTGGGGTTTGTGGCACAAGCACGACTCGTTTTCCAATTTGATGGGGGAAAATAAGCCCAGAATGGGTATTTTTGGGTGGTTTTCAGAGCATTTGGCTTGTTCATTTTTCTTAACGTGGCCCCACAACCTCAGGGTGGGGGGGCTCATTTGCAAGGATTTCACCTTAGTTAGTGGCTTAAAGGGAGCTGTGGGGTGGAGAAGGAACTGGTTGGATGGTCCCAGCCAGAGGGTGGTGGTCAGTGGGTCAAGGTCTAGGTGGAGACCACTGGTGTCCCCAGGGGTCCATACTGGGACCAGTACTGGTTAATATCTTCATTAATGAGGGGGTCAGGGCCTCCTCAGCAGGTTGGGAGGTGACACCAAGCTGGGTGGGATGTCACCCAGAGGGGTGGGATGTCACCCAGTGGAACCTGGACAAGCTGGAGAAGTGGACCCAGGTGAAGCTCCTGAGGGTTCAAGGAGACCAAGTGCAGGAGATCCCACCTGGAGAACTGGGTCCAGTTCTGGAGCCACCAACACAGGAAGGACATGGAGCTCCTGGAGAGAGTCCAGAGGAGGCCACAGAGATGATCCAAGGGCTGGAGCAGCTCTGGGGACAGGCTGGGAGTGTTGGGGTGTTCAGCCTGGAGAAGAGAAGGCTCCAGGGAGACCTTAGAGCAGCTTCCAGTGCCTGAAGGGGCTCCAGGAAAGCTGGGGAGGGGCTTGGGACAAGGACCTGGAGAGCCAGGATGAGGAGCAATGGCCTTGAACTGGAGCAGGGAAGACTCAGGTTGGATTTTGGGAAGAAGTTCTTCAACACTGAAGGCTGGTGAGACACTGGTTGCCCAGAGAGGTGGTGGAGGCCCCATCCCTGGAGACACTCCAGGTCAGACTCAACCAGGCTCTGAGGAACATGATCCCAAAGGTCCCTGTGCCCTGTGGGGGGGGCTTGGACTAGATGACCTGGAAAGGTCCCTTCCCACCCCCCACGTGCTGTGATTCCAGTTCCCAGCAGCAATGACCAAACCTCAAGGGAGATTTTGTCACCATCTGGGCAGCAACTTCCCCACATTTCGACATAAAACCACGGAGGGAAGGCCCCAAAATCCCCTTTTTCTCTCCATTTTTGCCTCTTCCACTTCTTACAAGCTGGGGTGTGTGTGGATTTAGAGCATGAATGGCTTTAATTTGACATGAATCACCTCACTCACCCTTGATGGCTCCAAGCAGCTCCAACCCCCCCCTGGTGCTGGAATCTTGGAGCCTTCCAAGAGCTGGAAGAGAAACAGGAGCTGGTGTGACCAGGGGCTACATGGCAAAACCTGCCTGGATTTGCTGGATTTTGGTGGTTTTCTGCTGTCAAAAGGTGATTCTCCTCTTCTGTCCCTCCCTTCCCCACTTCTTACACTAGATTTGACATAAACCCCTTAAAATTATTCCAATCCTCTTCCCCCTCCCCCATTTTCCAGGCACCCAGACCCCCCCATTAATGAACCTTTAGTACTAAAATAATTTGGGATTCCCCTTGTCCCAGGGTTTCTGCAGAAGTCAGGGGGAAGGAGGAGGGGCTTCTTTCATCCCCCCCCCTAATTAGTCACTCCTCTAATTGCTGATTTATGCAAACAGTTTGTTGCTAAACCCCGGGGTGTTTGTTTTCTACACCCTGTTCTGAGAAGCATGAGTCACTCAGGAACGTGACTCAATCACCACCCAACAACCTCCTTTCCCTCTCACTTTTTGGGGAGGTTTAAGGTGGAAAAAAATCCATGAGGAGCTGAATTAATTCCAGGAGGAAGGGGTGGGGGGTTTTTTTGGGGGGTACAGGCTGCTGGGTGTTGTTTTTTATTGGAAATAAAGCAGCTGAATGCAAAGAACAGCCGGGGGGGATTAAAGCCAGAAAGATTTAACCTTAGATATAACAGAGAAACAACTTCCCAGCACATGGAGGGAGGGGAAAAAAAAAAAGCAAAACACAACCAAAATGCATAAAAAATTAGAAATGAGAAGGAAAAGAGAGAGATTAATTCACCTGTCTCCTGGTTTTGGGCAAACCAGGCTTGTGGGCAACGCTGTGTCTGCCTCTGCAGGATGAATGAAGGCAGGTTTGATTAAAAAAAAAAGGGCTCAAGAATTGAAATGGGCTGCAGGAATTTCTAAAGATAAAGGAGCTGGGGAGAGGGGGTTGGTTTGGGGCCTGAAACCTGAAATATCTGTGGAGAATCTCTCTGGAGGTTTGAGATGGACGGGAAGGACCCTCCTTTATCCCTTGTTTTATCCTCCCCTGACCCTCATCCCTCTTCTCAGCCCATCCCAACGTCCTCATCCCTCTTCTCAGCCCATCCCACCATCCTCATC